TCAATTAGGTATGTATGACCAAGACACCTGAGATCTGATGTATTCAAAATGTCTTGCTGAAAATAGTTAAAATATATAAGATTCCTGTTGTGAAAATTATAACAACATAGAAATCAGTGAACAATTTTGTTGTTTTTCTAATTAGATTGTCATCAGGCTTTGATATACATAAATATTTATATGAAAATGTTAAACTAATCAAGGCAATTTATTATGAGTTCATCATCACAAATAGTATATTTAGTTATATCAGGCCTAAGAAAACATAGAGATGTCATGAATTTCTTCAGATACAAATATTATCAAGAAAACTGATTCATTTCAAGTGATCTAACATGTAACTCCATCATCATTTCCAAATGGAGTTCGACCCCATCTCCTATTTAGTGCAGAAGCTATAGGAATTAGAACATTCAACGCTAATTTATGGGTTAAGAAGAAATTTGTGACAACTTTGTTCCTTCCTTGGCCTGGTATGATTATTTTCAATTAGAGTTATGGAGATTAGTGTTTTTAAACATTTTAAATCATCAATCAATCATTGTTAGACCACCATTAGATACCTGGAGGCACTTCACGGCCGTCTCGTCCTGCTATGGGACTCATCAGCAGTGCACTACCACGACACCTGCACCTCACGGGATTTGAACCCGGGACCCCCAGATCACTGGGCCGGCATCCAGCACTGTTAATATCTAACTTTGCTTGATTAAGGGAATTCGCGCAACCTCACCCATTTGTCTTTGATAGTAGTTACTGCCTACAACTGACAGGGTTGAACTCCAATGGTCACGTCTTCTCTCACTAGAACTCCGAGAATTTTCTCATGAAGCTAGTCACTAGTGAGCATATATTACGATATTTTCAATTACAGTTATGAAGATTAGTGTTTTTACACATTTAAAATCGTCATCAGTTATTATTATTATTATTGTCACATCTTTCATTTGTTTGTCATTTTTCGCCTGTTTCTAGTTACATTCTTCATTATCTAATTGTTTACACACGTCTTATTACGTAATTCTAATAATGATTTTTATGAAGTCTATTTATCTAAGTTTTACCTACTTCCAGTGTTGAATTAAAACACTTTTTATAGCATTTTATCATTCTTCCCACTAACAGTGCATATGTCTTCTTATTATCAACTAGTACTCTGTTGGGGATGTTAGATCCCCAAAATTCGCTTGTTAAATGCCTTATTTTGGATTCCACGTTTGCCAGCATGGGCTGATCAGCTGACCTTGAAATTTCATTTCCCACCAGGAAAATCCATGGCTGTGATTGGCTGCTGTGTATTTTAGTGTGCTATTTTCGTACCTGTCCCAAGGACGCTTCTATGATGTATAAATAAACGAGAGTTGTATGCTTGATTGTATTTTGTGATTGATGAGTTTTTGTAGAATATACTCTCTACGCTTACAAAGCTTATTTTTTCTTCAGCTTGGGATTCAAGGTAGCCTACCTGGACTCCGGTGAACTCGTAATAGCTTCAAACGAACATAAAATACTCTTACCTCTTTATGTTTGGTTTCTCAATCTATTTCATTGTGATAATTGACTCATAAATTGCCTTGATTGGTTTAATATTCTCATATCAAGATTCATGTATATTGGAGTAAATAGAACGGCTTATGATATAATGGAACCAATCACAAAAACGATAAAATTAACCATTCGACAATGTTAACCAATCAAATTTAACCTACTTGGTAGACTGCACTACGAATCGCTCATTGATAAACCATGATTCAATTTCTCTGAATTCCACCAATCGGATGCTAGTGAGATGTCTCTCTTCAGTATAATTATCATTTATCAGTATTGATTACAATTAAATATTTTTGAAGTCATGAGTCGATCAATGTCACACCATCACTAGAAACCTGGGAGCATTGGACTGCCGTGTCTTCCTAGTGCAAGCAGTGTGCATCCATGGACCCCACTCTGAAGGATCGAATCCAGAACCATCGGACTCAACCTCTAGACCATTGAGCTGGCCGCATCGAATGGTGTTAATGTCTAACTTTAGTTAATTCATAATATTGTGCGATCATCATTCACTGTCTTCAATGGGTAACTGCATTCAAAAATCTCCATAATCCTATCATGACAATCATATACTTTGCTTTTTATTTAAATAGGAGGAGACTACAATGAAATTGAAACAGTTTGGATTCAGTTACACAGATTCTTATCCAATCGGTATAGTTAAACGTCGTACTATACCAATTATTCCACCGTCACCTATACAACCTATACCACGTTGGAAATTAATCAGACCAAGACCATCTGATTTTCCATTTGATTCTGTAAATAAAAACAAAAATTTAGAAAATAATCAAAAAGAAAAAGAACCTATACGTTCATTGCTGTTATGGACACCGATACAAGAGCATATATTCTGGGAACCAGAGAAAGTTATGTATGTTATTCTATGAATGGATTTTTTATGATGATGATAATGAGTTAAGTGACATAGTCACTTACGTATCAATCCTTGTCAGACTACTATTAGAAACTTGAAAGTAAGGAATGGCTGTTTCGTCCTTGTATGGGACTCTTCAGCCATGAGCATCCACGACTTCTGACAGCAGGAATCACGCGACAACGTCTAACCTCTAGACTATTGAGCCGTTGCCTACCAACGGTGTTAATGTCTCATCCTAATTAATCTAAGGGTTTACTCAGTTTTCGATTCCCGCAAGCGGGGATTGTGGATGCGCCTTGCTGATAAGCCCCATTCCAGGATGAAACGACCATCCTGTGCTTCTAGGTTTCTTATGTTCCCTTAACAATGATTGATTCATGATTTCAATGAGAAATGAAATCATTACCTATTTACGCATTGCTTATAATAATCTAATCGAACTAATAAAATATTGAAAATAATGATTGAATGAATGTGATAATTTTTTTGTTCAACAGATCAATTTTCAAAACTAAACCAAGCGGAAAATCAATAACTCACGCAACAAGGATTTATGTGTTTTTTGGAAAATTAAATTTGTTGCGTTCTTAATCGTTGACTAATAGATGACAATAACTAAGCACTAATCAGAACTCCGTTTTTGTAATCAATAACCTTGAGTCAGTTCTAAACTCTTATTGGTCCAGTTCTATTTCGATTCTTTTAGTGCAGAACTTCTTAATCAGCCTTCTCTACACAAAATTCATAATATTTTTCAAGCAGACATAGTTTATATACAAAACCCTGGTAGGCCACACCATACCATGAATCGAGAAAATAGAATTGTACATGTGCAAGGCAAAAGTGTTTGTGAATGATAGACTGGTAAAAGATACAGGATAGTAAATTATACGAAATTAATTAATAAGTTTATTAAAAACAATTGCACATTAGGAATATTTATAATAATGATAATGATAATAATAATAATAATTACTTACTTATTTACATCTGTTACCCCAGTGGAGCATGGGCCTGCTGACCAGCATTCTACAACCTACTCTGTCCTCAGCCTTCCTTTCTAGTTCTATTCAATTGCTGTTCATTCTGTTCATGTTTGTCGCCAGTTCTTCGCTTAATGTGTCCTTCGTTAATTCTCTTCTTCTTTGGCTTTGAAGATTTCAAGTGAGGGATTGTCCTGTAACGCAGTTGGGTGACTTCCATAGGTATTTTCTAATTACTTTCTCAGCTGGAATCTGGTTTGTTCTATTCTACAGTAGGTTCGTTCTGATAGTGTCTGGAAGATGGATCCTCAATAGACAACTGTGAATAAATATTTATGTCTTCAGGATGATGGAATGACATTGAAAGTATACGTTGAAATTCAATTCTATTGGTTGTTTGAATTTTCTCATTGATAGTTAGAACTGAAATTAGTCGATCTCTTTGGCATATTTATACATCATGTGCAGACTGCCTCATTATAGTCAGAGATGTACTGAACCGATCATTTGCAGTTCTAAATATAAATGAGAAGATTCAAACTATCAGTGCAACCATTTCACCTAATTACATAAGTCAATGGTTATCTGTACTCACTCAGTAGCTAAGTGATATTAACTGAAACATACAGTAATCCTGTCCAAGTCTCAGAGTGAACATTAACTTTTGGATGCAAGTGAAATCCACCCAAAAATAAGTCCCACATAGCATGTGTTATGCTTGGCAATTGATATGCTTGAAACTATTACCAGTTCACTTTAGTCGGTAGACGTGAGCTAAGACAAATGATCCAGTGACACGATAGGCTACTCTAATCCAAGCGTCCCAAGACCCCACTTGTTGGGGATGTTAGATCTCCAGAACTTGTTTGATAAATGCCTTATCTTGCATTTCACGTTTGCAAGCATGGGTGGATTAGTTGACCTTGAGGTTTCATTTCCCACCAGGAATATCCATGGCTGTAATTGGCTGCTGTGTATTTTAGTGTGCTATTTTCGTCACTGTCCCAAGGAAGTTTCTATGATGTATAAATAAACGAGAGTTGTATGCTTGATCGCATTGTGCTTGCTGGGTGTTTGTAGAATATACTTTCTACGCTTATCAAGACTTCTCTTTTGCAGTTTGGGGATCAAATTAGCCTACCTGGACGCTGGGTCATTGACTCGTTCACGTTTATCGACTAAGGTGAACCTGTTATAGTTTCAAGAGTACCTAGTGACGAACCTAACACCACTAACGGTATCAAAAACTCTTGATATGGCTTAGAAAGTGTATTCTACAAGCACCCAGAAAATATGAGGTTTTTGTACAGGAGAAGAAGAAGATAAGCATAAAATTTCACAGACCATGCTTATTTATGCAGTTAGGTCGACCGTGAATACTAACCAATAGGAAAGAATATTTAAAAGTATGTGAGCTTTATAGTCTAGGACGACCTTAAATAGTGACCAATAAGAATTGACCAATAGAATTAGATTCACACAATAATTTCTTTCGGATATTTGATGAATATCCTAACAGTATGGAACGCAAATCTTGGATTTCACGGTTAGTCACATTCCATTTCTACTTTTCCACTTTTTCATAGAATAACCCCACCTACTTCAATTAATGAATCAGTAAATCCATTAAGTTCATCACCTGATATTATAAAACAAATGAAAGGAACATTAAAACTTCGATCCAATTCTCAAGGATCAACAACACATCGTCGACGTGAATCGAATTCAAATAATTCAAGTCCATCGAAAAATCAAGTTAGTGAAAAATTCATTGGTTAATTAATTGATTTACTGACAAGATATTTTTTTTGAAATGATGAATCGACCGATGTTAGACCACCATTAAAGAAACATGGGAGCACGGGACGGCTGTTTCGTCCTGCTGTGTGGAATTTGTCAGCAGTGGGCTTCCATGAATCCTGCTAATCACAGGATTCGACCCTCAGGACCTTCGGTCTTGTGTGCGCAAGCGCCTAAACTCTGAACCTAGCCTCATCCACCATCTCTGGTGAGCACTGCTTCAGAGGAGAACAGGGTTGGACTCCACTGGTCACGATCAGAGGTTAGGCGCTTGATATCAAGACTGAAGGTTTAATGTTTGAGTCTCGTGAGTGGCGAAAGTCGTGGATGCTTACTGCTAATGAGTCCCACACCAGGACGAAACACCCGTCCAATGCTTCCAGGATTCTTTAATGGTGATCTAATATTAATAGATTTATGCTTTTAAAAATTAACTGAACAATCTCCACAACCCTTTCATGCAGATTAGATATTTGATATTAATTAGTGAGACATTAAGATGATGTTGTACTGCATAATTTGTCATTGTTAGATAATACTCATTTTTTTCTAAGTAGTGCATCTTAATTCAAAATAGATCATTGTTATGTCTAATAAGTTGTGACTATCACGATTTAGTCAGTGAGACAGTTATAATTAATGACAATTTTATTGAAACGATGAATTGATTAATGTTGGATCACCACTGAAAACTTGGCAGCACTGGATAGATGTTTTGTCCTAGTATGGGACTCATTAGTAGTGCTCATTTACGACCCCGCCACAATCAATTGAGCTCTGAGCGTTTTTCCTCACCAGAGAACGCTTAACTTCTTCACCACTGGGTCAGAATCCAACCGTGTGGCTAAGTTGATCAGTTCATGATTTCAGTGAAACTCATCTGTTTCTACAACCATATAATGACAATAATCGTGTGCTCACTAATGACTAAACTTCGAAGACGATTCTCGAAGTTCTAATGAGAATTTGTGATCAGTGGAGTTCAATTGTGTCGGTTGTGAGACATTTAACAACCAAAGAAAATAGACTGGAGTTGCACAATATCATAAATTGACTCGAGTTAAACAGTAACACCGTTGTATGCCGTTCGCTATGGGATCAACAGGTTTAGAGTTCATGTGGTTCAAAGCTAGACCTCTTGTGGCGGTATCATAGATGCACACTGTTACTTAGTCTCATTTATTTGCATGCTTAGCAATCCTAGCAGGTTATTGACTGCCTTCTGTCACTCCTCTTATGGTTTTCAGCATAATTTAATCATGCTACGCTCTTCAGTCTGTATTCTTCTCTCTGATACCAACTTCTAGGTCACCTTTCTTGTAGCATCCATCACAATATGATCGGTTAGATTCCGATTCATTGACTGAAATGCTATTATGTCCTAATTTCAACTCAGTATGGATTAGTTGTTTTCAAAGTTATTAAAGACTGTTGGCAAAAATCTCTAAAGCTAAGTTTCACGCTAGTTGATGCTTATCGATAGGGTATACCTATAATTTTTGAGGGAACAGATGGCTCTATTTAATATGAATGTTATAATTCTCTCTCATATTACAACCCAGCTATTCCTAATGCTTAGTATTCTCGGACATCAATTCACTCGAGACGTTCTCCAAAATCAAAACACGATTGAACAGGAAAATAGATTAAAATTCCATTAAAAAGGTTAGAATGGAAGACAGAAGTTACAAAGGAAAGAGACGTTTGTATATTTATAGTCTTCTTACATGAGAAGATTCTAGAATGTTCCCTCAGTATCGGCTAAAGCTGATTGGATACGAAAAAGCCAATCAGCCTGCAACAACGCAATCATGCTTTAATCCAGTCTATGTCCCACTAACAATGAGAGAATTTTTTTTAGCTTTTCATATCAATCAGTAATATGAAGTTTACAATAATAACAATAATCTTCTTTTAATCCTGTTTTGCAGAAAAGGGGTTCGCGTGATGACACACAAAAGAAAGGTAAGTTGTACAATACACTACTCATGAATTTCATCGATATCATGAATCGATCAACATCAGATACCTTCAGGCACTAGATAGCCATTTTGTTCCACAGTGCGCGTTTACGACGCCTGCATGCGAGAATTGAACCTAGGACCCTCAGTCTCGAACAAGACCATTGAACCAGTGGCATCTAACAGATTAGGATCCAAACTAAGGTTTGGATTGAGGAACAACTGTCTAGGTAGTTTAGATACGCGCTTTGCCCGGTTGAAACCCAAACAAGAAATTGGGCGAATTACCGTTCTAATATTCATCATAAATATAAATGTACATCTTTACCTAAACATTATTACCACTCAGTTATTCTACCAGTTCAAATCAACAGTAACAAATAAATGTTATTCTACGCTTTCTGGATAGATCAGATTTGTTCGAAAGATAATATTTGGTTGTTTTATAACACAGAGTGTTTCCAAATCTGGAAGAGTGCTTCAATTCAAATTCAAAATGCACAATTCCAGTCAAGGCAAGCGACACAATCAAAAGAGGAACAAATCGATATGGCTTCCGTTAAGTATCAGCTTAAACAACATAATGCAGTTTAGGAAGAAACATAGAAACTCATTGAAGGCAGAAGAAATAGTGACTATGATAAAATACGAATATTATCATCCCAAAATGGAATCGAACAGACTACACAAAATGCACAACTGAAGGAATCGCATTAAGAACAAATTACAAATGTATACATGGAGGGATTTTTATAAACAAAACCTTCGAAAAAATGGATCTTACAAACACTATAATTGTCCAACTTTAATCAAAAACAGCAACTTTCAAATAGTTAATAAAATGATTAAACTTGTGTTATGAAAAAATTGTTGCCTTAGAAGTTCTAGAAAATTTATATAAATTTTTTATGACTACCATTTCAAGTTGACCAATAATAATTAGTAATAGAAATGCACCATTTACAAATTTTAATAAAGTCATTAACGCATTCATTTAAAGTTGATTTTCAACTGCCTTGGACATTGAATGAATTAATCAGAAAAAATATAACAGTTATTTTTTGGCAATTTTGTTTATAGTTGAAAAAAGTTTTGATCCATTAGAGTTCATTATCCTTTTGAAAAATTCTAGAATAGGGCTCTTCAAATGTAGGCGGCACATGACCTTGTTAGGGATTGAACATAGAAAGTGAAAGTTTGAAGATTTTATATTTTGTTGTATACACACTTTTTTTACACATTTAAAATCATTAATCAATCATTGTTAGACCACCATTAGAAACCTGGGAGCACCGGACGGCAGTTTCGTCCTGGTATGGGATTCATCATTAACACCGTTGGATGCCGACCCAGTGGTCCGATGTAAGGCGTTCGCCTACAATGCCAAAGGTCCCGGGTTCGAATCCTCCGAGGAGCAGGAGTCATGGATGCGCACTGCTGATGAGTCCCATACTAGGACGAAACGGCCGTCTAGTGCATCCAGATTTCTAATGGTGGTCTAACAATGATTGATTGATGATTTCAAATGTGTAAAAACGCAAACCTCCAAAAACTGTGCCCCAAAATACTTTTTTTTGCTGGTTAGCGTTTTTTTAGCAAGTTTGTTTTCTACAGGATGAGGTCTCTAACTTCTCGCCCAATCTTTCCTCCTTTATCCGGGCTTGAGACTGGCAGTAACCTTAAAAGAGCTCCAGGTGGAGACGTCACTGTTTGATAATAAATAAATATATATACTTGTATTCTCATTGGTTCTTCGAAATCACCAAATCACTTAAATATCGTTTTTAAACCTTGAAGTTTAATCGTCTTTTGAAATTACTGTTGGGATATTCATCAAATATCCCAAGAGAAATATTTTTGGAAGTCTAATTCTATTGGTCGATTCCTACTGGCCAAGAATATTATGATCGTCCTAGATATCAATGTCACGTACTTCAATGTTGTTTCCTATTGGTCGTCCTAAGTGTCAAAGTCATAGACTTCAATGTTGTTTCCTATTCTACCTAAATGTATAAATACGCGTTATCTGTAACGTTTAGTGATCCGGATTCCTAGTTC